CAGAGTGGTACGGTGTGAGATTTCATTACACTACTCAGAGCAGCAAGCAACTTAAAACTGATGAATGATTTCAGAAATTTTCCTTTTAATATGTTTGGGCAATGGTTGACCCTGGGTAACTGAAACCACAGAAAGCAAAACGGCAAATAAGCAGGGACTACTGTACATAATACGTATATATAGATGTATATTGGGCATGTAGACATATTTACATGTGTGTATGTATATATGTATGTGTATGTATATATGCATAGATCTATCTTCTTAGGACTTGCAAGAGCTTTAAAATCTATTATCAGATTATATATTTCTTTAGCCAAACAATAAATCCTCTTTGATGAGTCATGGCACTTTTAAGAAAAAATACAAGGTCAGATGGTTCAGAATAAACAAATCAACAAATTAGCAAACAAAACCAGCCTAGGGCAGGCTTCCAGGCACTTCCTGTCTGGGCTCTCTAAGGCAGATTTTAGGTGCTATTTTCTCTTGTTTTTCAATTTCATTTTCTTCTCGGCTCTAAGTAATTCCACTCATTCTTTAAGTCTGATTCACATGATTTTACAGTCAGGAAGGGAGTGGAAGGACGTGGGAAAAGAGAAGTGGTGGGGAGGCAGAAATAGAGTATTTATCAAGTTACACAATAAAAAGAAATTCAGTATTCTAACATGTTCTCCTTTGTATAATAAGAAAATACATTCCCTAAGCTAATACCTGCAGAGCTCTGGCTCATGCTGAGGGTGTGGTCCCAATATCTCAGTGGGCAAAATGAGAGTAATCAATAATCTGAGATAGAGGCCAGCAAACTCTTATGCGTGGGCTAAGTCTGGCCTGCGGGGTTATTTTTGTACAACCCAAGAGTAAAGAACAAATTTTACATGTTTTAAAGGATTATGACTCAAAATATAGAAAAAAATGTGCCAGAAACCACATGTGGCCTGTGAATGCAAAAATATTTATTCTCTAGACCTATACAGATGAAGTTTGCTGACCCCCGTTCTATGGAGATACTAAGAACGTGCTTCTGAAATTGCTTTTAGTCTGAAGTGTGTTTGGCTTGAACTTGGCTAAAACATAGCAAGACTGCAGGACTGTGGTCCATCAAGCCAGAATGACTCTCAACTTTCTGTAGCAATACACACACTTGATGTTATCTATCATAGGCTTAGCACAGCTCTGTGGCACTCATTTATAGAGTTTACATTCATGTTTGTTTATGTCACTTTGTTTTACAGGTGTTTTCCTGCATGATTTTCTGTTTTCAGTTTTGCAGTGCAGCAAGGTTCTCTCTTAGAATATACATGGGAGGCAAAATCATGAACTTGCTATACTGGCCCACTTGTTGTAATGACCAGAGGGCTTTGTTATGGCACCATGAATTAATCTGGAATCTAGCTGAAATATGAAGATGTGATCTGATTACTTCTCATCTGTCTTTCACTAAACCTGGGAAATTTTTGATCACTGTTCCTTAAATGATTATTATCTGCTCCATCTTCTCTCTCCTCTCCTTCTGTGACTCCAATTACCCTTATGCTAAAATGCTTGATACTGCCCCACAGGTAACTGAGTCTTGCTCATTGTCAACAATTTTTTCCTTCCCGTTTTCTAGACTGAATAATGTCCAGACTTCTATCTTCAACTTCACTAATCTTTCATCATCTTACTCTATTGTTAGATCCATGGAGTGAATTTTTAAAATTTCAGATATTGTATTTTTTAGTTGTAAAATTGTGTTTTGTATCTTTTTTTCTTGAGATTCCCTAAATGTTCTGTGACCATGACCATAGCTTTCCTTACATTTTTGAGCATAGTTACAATAGCTGCTTTAACATTCTTTTCTTCTAATTCCAACATATACGTCATCTTGCAGTCAGTCTCCATTAATGGCCTTCTCTTTTGAGTATGGATCTGTTTCCCTGTATGACTAGTAATTTTGGATTGTACCCAGAACACTGTGAATGATACACTAATGAACAGAAGTACTGTTCAACAGAAATAAGATGAGAACTGGATATATAATTTGGATTTTTTTTTTTTTTTTTTTGAGACAGAGTCTGGCTCTGTCACCTAGGCTGGAGTGCAGAGGCGTGATCTCAGCTCACTGCAACCTCCATATCCCAGGTTTAAGCAATTCTCCTGCCTCAGCCTCCTGAGTAGCTGGGACTACAGGTGTGTGCCACCATGTCTGGCTAATTTTTGTATTTTTAGTAGAGATGGGGTTTCATCATGTTGGCCAGGCTGGTCTCAAACTCCTGACCTCAGATGATCTACCTGCCTTGGCCTCCCAGAGTGTTGGGATTACAGGCGTGAGCCACCATGTCCAGTCTGTTAATTTGGATTTTTTAGAAGACACATTAAAATAGTAAAAAAATCTCGATTTTAATTTTAGTAATTTTGTTTATCCCAATGTATCCAAAATATAATCCTTTGGGATGATTATAATCAAAGTAATCACTTGAAAATTAAGATATTTTATAATCTAAAATTATTTTATAAAATTAAGACTTATAATCTCTGTTCATACTAAATATTTAAAACCTCGTGTATATTTTATATTTATAGCAGATTTCAATTTGGAGTGGCTAGTGACTACCATATTGAACAATGCAGTTCTTGAGTATCATTTTAGAAGAATATTGAATGTTTGTTTTAGTAGGCAGCTAATTTGCTGGAATAAAACTCCAGGCATTGTCTCTCTTGTGGTGGGCAGCAGCTACCGTCTCAGTTCAGGTCTTCTAGCCTTAGCTGTGCTATGTGGGGTCTGGCGGGGCTGTCTTATTCTTAGATTTGGCCTTAGTCTCTAAGAATTCCCAGAGATTCTTGAGATACATACAGAATTTGGGAGTCCCCTTCTGTGGCTCCCTCTTTTCTGGAGTTTTTCCTTCTCAATTTCTAGCTGCCATGGGTTTCCCTGAATATTCTCCTTTGATGGCTTAACCAGTAAAAGATGGCAGGTATCTATCAGACTTTTAGTTAGTCTCAATGGAACTAGGGCCTTCATTTGGTTAAAGAGCTGTCAACATGGGTAATTCAATTCCATGCCACTCTATTCCTCCATTTCTTTATTTCTCTTCAGTTTCTAATTGCTTTCTAGCTTTAATTAATTAATTAATTTTTGAGATGGAGTCTCGCTCTGTTGCCCAGGCTGGAGTGCAGTGGCACGATCTCAGCTCACTGCAACTTCCGCCTCCCAGGTTCAAGCAATTCTCCTGCCTCAGCCTCCTGAGTAGCTGAGATTACCGGCATCTGCCACCACACCCGGCTAATTTTTATATTTTTAGTAGAGACAGGGTTTCACCATGTTGGCCAGGCTGATCTCGAACTCCTGACCTCAAGTGATCTGCCCGCCTTGGCCTCCCAAAGTGCTGGGATTACAGGCGGGAGCCCCCTCTCCCAGGCTGCTTTCTAGCTTTTAAACAGTTGCTTTTTATACTGTCTCCAGAGTTTGTAATTGTAATCTGCAGGAGGGTTGGTCCAATATAAGCTACTCTATCACTACAGGAAGCAGAACCCTTGATTTTTAAACTTTATCCCTGGAGTCCCACAGAGGAGCCAGGACCTACTGTGAGAGGTGGAAAAGGCAGAGTAGACTGGCCCACTCTGCCACATCACGTGTGTGTCTCAATTCAGTGGCAGCAGCTTTCATTTCATCTGTTTCATTTTATTGGTTTCTGTGCATAATTTTAAAAAGACTTGGGTATAAAATAGTTTGAAAACAGAACTGATTTTAAAATATGCTTCTCGAATGGAGCCCTAAGACCTTTTTGCTCAATCATGCCATTGAACTCATGTTGACCTCTCCTCCTCCATCGTCTCTTACCCTATTTTCCAATCACTTCACCAGGGCCAGGCCATCTTTAGTTTCCAGAGAAGAGGCTGTAGCCTGTTAGACTGCTGAGTCTTTACAGTGGCAAGTCCTTTCTGTGGCCCATGAATGTGACTTGTTGAGGGACTGATCAATAGGTTTGTAGTACGGCTGCTCATACCGAGGGTGCTCAAGCAGATTTCCTGCAGTGAGCTCTTCCTCCAGGCCTTCAGCCTTAAGGGTGGAATTTCATTCTTAATTTGGCAAGGAGCACAGAAAATCATCGCAGCAAGCCTCACCTTCTTTTTTTCCTTCCTGTCTCCTCTCTTTCTCACTCAAACACATTTTAAGAGTTTGACAAAACAAAGGGGGTTGGTGCAGAAGCCAAATATGTTGTGAAACTCTTGTACTAGGCGAGCGGCACAAATTGAGTTAAGAAACCTAAAAAATGGAAATACTAAACACCCAGTCTAATTGGAAAAGGTCAACATGCCTTAAATGATATACAGAACCGCAAAGCAAAAACCATTCACCTCAATTCAGAGCAGAACGGAAGGTCAAAGGGTGACATGACACAATGTAATGGATTTGCCGAAGTCACGCTAAAATGACTCGAAAAGAAGAGGCTTAGCTGATGAACACATTCCACACAATCCATCTCCTGACAACCCAAGAGAGTTCACATCGGTAACACGGCCATGAAAGCTGGGGTTGGGACAGAAGTTCTGATTGATCCCAAAGAACAAACACCAAGATCCACACTCATTGGCATGAATTTCAGCCACTGAAACAGGTCACCCACAACATTAGCCTGTGTGCACCCGTTCTCCTGGACACTCAGATGCCAATATTTGTTTCCTTCTCCACCAAGACAAAGTAATTTGGGGAAGCCAATGGGTACTGGTTAAAAGTGTGGTGGTGGCTTTTTTTTTTTTTTTTTTTTTCCTGTGCCATGAGATGTTACTAATGGTCTCCTACAGAATGCCTTCCAGTGAAGACTGTATTTCCATCAGAGTTCTGGCTCAGTAGCTAGAAATTTGGTAATTTGAGCAAGCAGAAATCACTCATCAACAATAACGGAACATAGCATAGAGCAGTACTGTGGCATTAATTGCCTATTGCTCCCCACCATTGATGGTGCTGCTGCCCCAGATTCTGGTGGGTCCAAGCTACAGAACAGAACCCAGCTCCTTACCGTGACTGGCAGGGGTGCAAGTTGCACCTTCGGACCTGGGGCTCTGGGCGGCTTGCTTGAGGGCAGTCACTGTCGTTCACCAGAGTTGTGGTCTTGTTGACAATCCGTGTGCATGAGACGATGGTTCTGCGCTCCCCTGGAAACCAAACCACAGGGAGCTGAGAGACTGTGGCCTCACCCACCTGGAAAGGCTGGGCTTGCATGCCCATGAAGGAATGTTTGGGTGCTGCTGATGGGCACTTTGTCATTTAGAGTGACTGTTGTAAATGTTGTGTGGGTTTGTAGAGAAGAACTGTAATTGCAGGGAGGAGGGTGCAAGACACAGAAGGCAGAGTGGGGCCCTGGAAGATTCTAGAACAGGATGAGAAAGCAGCAACACCTCAGATCAGCGGTGTCCTTGGACAGCTTGGGGTTCGTTGATTTGGGCCTTTAATTTCCAAAGATTGCTCATCTTTTTATCTTCTGGATTGATGTTTAAAGTCTATGGAATCCGATCTCAATTAAATACTTACACATCAGCCCTCACTAGAGAGTCTGGCTACCTATTACAGAACTCCTACTTGCTGGGGAGAAGTGGGGGACAAGGAGTCTGGTCTGGAAGACACGCAGACCTGCATCCTCTAGACAGGCATTCCAGAGCCATTCTGAATTTGTCTAGCCAGCCAGCTGGTACTTATGGCGGAGCTCCCACCTGCTCTTGAGAAGCTTTGCTAATCCATTATCCCAGTTGGATATAGCCCTTCTTTTGGGTGTTCCCAGAGCACCCTAAACACTGCATGGCAGGCAGGCCTTTGTCAGGCAGGCTGAGTGACTGGGAGTTACGAGGGTGGCCCTTGGAGCCAGGCTGTCTGGGTTCAAGTCTTGGCTCTATCACAAATAGCATCACAGTGACCATAGTGTCGACAGTTGGCCACCATGTTTCTGCATCTCGGTTTCCTCAAGCAGGCTGGTTTGCTTAATTTCTCTGTGCCTGAGGGTGCCTCAGTGATGATTAAAATAAACAAATATATATGGTGTCCATAGAACGGAACCTGGCAGGTGGCTAACACTTCATGTTAGCTCTACTGCTGTCATTATTATTATTATTTGGGAAGAGTGACAATAAAAGATTAATAGGGAGTCGAGCACAACTATTTGGATCCTGGGCTCCCTGCTGGTCTGTGTCCTGGGCAATTTGTCACGTAGGGATGACTCGAAATCATGGAGACCTGAACTCCACCGCCAGTTCCTGCTGCCCCACATGGCAGCCTTTTGTGAGTACAGAAAGCACAGAACTGCTTTCAGCTGTGGTGGCAGGTCTGACCACTGTGTTAGGAAGCTGGAAGTCATCAGTGTCATAAAAGGATTGCCATCAAGCCAACAGCAACAGAACAGCCTGCCCCTGACCCCAGGAGAGCCTGTTTACTCTTCCATGTGGGCTATGCTTGGTTTGCAACAAGTTGCCCAAGAGGAAAATCTGGCTGGAATCAGAGGTAGATGTGTTGGCTGGATTTGGAGGTTGAAAGGCCATGTGCACAACGGGCAGCTAAGGGCTGAGGGGGAGAAGGTCCCCCGGGGAGAGGTGCAGAGTGGAGGATGCAGGGCTGATGGTGGTATCCAGAGGCTATGCCAACTGCCGCAGGGCTGCTGCAGGAAGAGGCTAAGCACAGACAGTGAGGGTGGTTGGCCAAGATGCCCAGGAAGAAATTCCTGTGTGTCTATAACTCCTACCCATGAAAAATGGGATGAGTCCCTTAAATGGTAAGCAATGCTTTATATATTGGACATCCAATAAAACTTATCCAAGCAGTTAATAGATGCTCAGGACTAGGGATGGCAGGGGCTATGCCCGGGCTTCCATTCCGTCCTCCAACTCTCTGGGCTGGCCTACCAGAGTCCAGGTCAATCTTCTGTCCCAACTCTGTGCCCACTAAAATCCACCCACCCTGTGTTCCATCTCCCATGACCCTGCTATGTTTCCTGCTAGGGTGACACACAGCACTGCACTAAGAAACTGCTGACTCAGAGTTCAGAATGACTTCCTACTGCTCCCTCTCAATGACACAACAATAAATACAATGCCTTGTGGTCATATGGATTCTTGCTGTATGACAGGCTCTTTGGCTGACCCTGCGGACCCTGCAGGGGGCATGAGAGACAACTATCCTATTTTAGAGGTGAGGGAACTCGGGGTAGGGAGAGGAAGTCATTTGCTGAGGTCAAGCAGGAAGTTGTGCAGTCAGGACTCATGCTAGGAATGCTTCACCCGACTTGCAGGACTTTTTCTTTCCATTGTGTCCTGGAGTGAGGTGACTGTGGCCAAGAGGGAAGGGAATTTGGGAGTGGGCAGAGACATGCTTTGGTGCCCCTCCAGCAAGCGGCAACAGTTGAAGGTCTATTCTGTTTATTCCCAGGGTCCACCTGTCACACCCAAGACGTAGTCATACATCAGCCAAACCCCACTTCACCCACAGGTCAGAGCTGGGGGGCCCTGAGCCCCGGGCAAAGCAGCGGTATGGGCATGATCCTAGTGTGGGAGTTGGGAAGACTCTACCCAAGTATTCTGCAGAGAGATTTTCGGTGGGGTATGATTAAATTCCCATGGAACTACAGGTTACAGATTTCCCAGACTCTGTGTGCTGGCCACACATGCCTTTCTCCTTCCTTCAGCAAAACCCCACACCCAATAGGCCATGGCCCACGGCCACTCACCTCCTCCACACTGCACACTGCACCCTTCCCAGCCGCTATGGGTCCAGATGAACAAAGAATCCTGCGGTTTTTCTGGTTCACTTTGATTTTCCGCAGTGTGGTTTACAGGAACAGTGTATTCATAATGAATTCCATAATCTTGGTCGTGAAATAACAACACCTGGATCAGCCGCAAAACAAAAGGTCATTTTGAAAAGGAACGAAGGCCCATGGGATTGCCAAATCTGCACACACAGGCACACCGTGGCTGTTTCTCTATGAGGGGTAACCAGCTCTTTTCTGGGGCTGAAAACAGGTTTGACTGAGGGTGCTCCTTTATCTTAGCCCTGGATTCCTCAGGGACTCAACTTGGGAGCAGGGCGAATGCAAACCATCATCAGGAAGTTCTATTATTTCCTACCCAAGAGAGAGACCAGCTTAGACTAGGAGCTTTAGGATAAGCAACTCTGAAACCTCTCACTGCGCTTTTCATGGAGAGCTGCTCCACGCAGAGAACAGTCCTGCATGTTCACCCACAAAGCTGCCCTTGCACACAGGAAAGACATGGATAAACTTTTACCTAGAAAGGCATCAGAGCAAGTGCGGTGACTCTACTTCTTTGGAAATGAACATCATCCTTCACTCCCCATCATCAATCACTGCCATGTCAGTTGGTCCAGAGAGTCAGGGGTAAGGCAAGCTCAAGGGCAAAATGCAGCTCACTGCCAGAGGACTTTGGGTGGCATCGGTTTGAGAGTTCAAGGATGCAAGAGGCCTCCACTGCCATGGGAGCCAGGATGATGACTATACCCAAGGGTGGCAGGAGCCAGGCTCAAGGTTTCAAGCCAGGAGTGCAGTGGAGGTAGAGGGAGGGATCTATCATGTTTTGTGGGAAACTACCATACAGCTTGGAGACCTTGGATCTGAAATCCTAGTCAGCAAGAATATACAGAATAGATGGGTTTAGAACGGCATGTGACAAGTCTTGTAAAGACAGCAGGTGTATGATCAGTTTTATTTATCTAGACACAATGGTGTCAAACAAGCCCTCTTGTAGGAGCTTAACATGGTTTGTCTGTGGATAATGAGTCTTCAAGCTAAGCCTGGAAGCAGTGAATGCCCCTGGGTCTAAGTAACTAGCAGATTCACTTCCAGCCTGAGACGTCCGAGAGAATGGGCCAGCAGGCACTAAGGGGAGGGTGTGCATGGCCCACCTGACTTGACTTGGGGCAGACCAGGTCAAAGTGTACCAGACAATGGGAGCCATTTCCCTCCAGCCATCTCTCAGTCTCCAAGGCTGAGTTGTGGGGTTGGGCTGCAGTGCTAAGAGCAAACCTAACTGCATCAACATCCACGGCTTCACCAGAGAGACCTGGCGTAACACATTTGGAAAAATGCCTCCAGTTAGGAAAACAAGTCCACCAAAAACCAAACTAGTCTTAGAAAGAGATCTTTATCAGCTCAGTATGAGAATAAGACTGGTGAATTGAGAATTCATATGAAACAAATTTCATGCAATTTTGTAGCCACGTATTGTGTGTGTGTGTGTGTGTGTATGTGTGTGTGTGTGTGTATAATTGGTTTCAAATGCAGGTCCCCATGATTCTTTGGGTGCTACAGATTCTGCAAACAGTGTGTACACCCCAGTTTGGGGACAATGGCTTTCTATATAGAGGCAAAGGGGCACCTCTCATTTTCAGTTTTAAAATCTTCAAGTGACAATCACATTTTGAAAGAAAAGCCATCAATATTAAGCGAGGGCTGAAACTTCAGTTACGGTAGTAGTTGCTTTCTCCGAGTTTTGTTCATCCTGGTCTGAATGAATCCAGGCTGCGTACTTCGCTTTAACGGGCTAACAACTTGCTCAGTTTACAAAAGCTTTCGGTGAAAAGGGAAATACACTCACATTGGCGTTTGCTAGAGAAAGCAAATTCTCATGTTAACAGGTGAGGTTTCAGTACAGGTTTTATGTTTTGCCTCCTCTCTTAGTCCCTCTGAACAACTGCTTTTAACTCGGAATAGGAGGATTTGTTCTGTGACTAGGAAACAATCTTATCCCAGAGAAATGACTTAGGTACACATTATTAGGTCCCAGAAACCTACTTGCAGGAACGTATTTGCAGTGGATTTAGCGGGCTGAGTGGTGCACTGGCAGATTTCTACGTGGTTGAGATTGCACATGAAAACTGCCTTGCCTTTGTCTACCCAGAAATCGTAACGGGGTTAACACCACTATGGGGTAACGCCCACCCTGGGTGCCAGTGCTCCTTGGCAGAGCAAGCCTCCTCAGGAGATTCCCTGGGTAATGGCTAGAAAATCTTTTGGGTGTCAATTAATCTGGAACACTTACAGGCTGCCAGAGATCACAAATTAATGGGGAAGAAGAACTTCCATGGAGAGACTCTGGCAGGCACTGAGGACAAAGTGTGCTTTAATTACAGGGGCACAAGCTGCCACAAATCCTGTTTTCTGGAAGGAGACACAGAATCAATAATGATGAGCTATCAGAAGTTAGCCATGAGAACTCCTGGATCTTGAGAAGGAAGCAGGGCGTTCCATTCCCTGGAGATCTCTGACATGTTTAAAAGCATGCATCACTGATGTTTCAGTGGCTTGCATGGAGGCCTCCCTGAGACAACAGGTAAGACAATGGCGCCCTGGCCTGGCCCAATAGCACACAGGTTTCTGGAGATCATCTGGGGAGTAGGACACCCGCATCATCTGATCCCCCTTCCGGATTCCCAAATGCCTGTTGCAAGCTGGGTCTGTGAAATCTAAGGGATGCTAGTTCGGACCTGGAGTCAAAGTTCATTTGCAAAAGGTAATGATATGCACTCTATGAGGGCAGATCTATGCATCCCACTACCTGATATGAAAACAGACTTTGAGTGGGGCTGTCTGCTTAACGAGGTCAACTCTCCCTGGCTGCCATCCACGTGGCTAAGCATTTCCTTCTTTGAGGCAGCTCCTTTTGAAAAAGATAGGAGCTCTGCCAGGGAAGAGCCAGGGGAAGCAATGACAGAATTCTGAAGCAGGCAGTGCAAGGGACTGGAAAAGAAAAGACCCAGAGAAGGGAGAGGACTGAGCAGCAGGGGACCTCGTAAACCCCTGGAAGCTGGATGCATTTCCTGCCCCCAAGGTACCAGGAAGAAGTAAACTGGAAAGTAAGCTGGTAGACCTCTCGGAGCCATGCCCCCTAAGACAAGTGTGGAAGCCCAGCAAGTTACCATCAAGTGCAGCGGTAGTTTCGTTGGTCCCTTGGCAGAAATCTTCTCCCATAACCCCCTTCTCACATAGCGAACAGTTGTGCCTGCAATCTGGAACTCTCCGGGGAGCTCTATCTTCCAGTCACTGTTGATGGATCCCTTACCGGAGTCTTTGAGAGCTAGAAAGCAAATTGAAGACCAAAGAATCAAGGTGCTGGGGGTGGGGGGACCCAGCCTGTCTTTAAAAGGAATCTGTGGCCCCTGAGTGGGGCAGATGTCTCCCCTTCCACAGGGGGAAGGAGGGAGGCCTGAAGCAAGAGAAAGGGAGTACTCTGTGTACTAAGAACAAAAGCCTGGATTGCAGGGAGCACAGAGCTGCAGATCCCTAGGATCCCCAGGGAGAGCTGTGGGATTGATGGGCACCTTCCAGCCTGGGCTCCTGTCTCGAAACCAACTCAGATAGCTGGGGTTAGGGGTGGAGGGGCAGGGAATGGGGACAACCACGGCCTGATCTCATTTCACTAAACTTACCCAGCAGATGGTTTTCTGCCCAATGAATTCATTCCATTTTAATGTGTCCTAGGCTACAAACCAGGTTTTGCTGTTTCAGCAAAACAAATGAGTTCCCTTTCCTATTACCTACCTGGGGCTCTAGGAGGAGAGCAGCCCATCTCCAGCACCTCTTAAGGATCTGATATCCCCATACTACTAAAGTGGATGTCCCTTCAATCAACAACCATTACTCTATTAAGTATGAATGTTTGGAAATCCTAGCCACCCACAGATGTGGTGGTCACACTCGGCAGCTGTGGATGAGCAGTGGCTGGGGGCTGAGCGTGGCAGGGGAGGGGCACTCTCATACCCTAGCTCTGTGGGTTTCAGGTTCTCACGTTTGCTGGCCCACATCTCTACCAGGGACAGCCTGTGTCAGGAGAGGCTGAGAATCAGCATGCTGCTGACTGGCCGTAAGCAGAAACTTGGTTTTCCACACAAGCCATGTATTTACTATTTTCCGAGGCGCTCACTAGGACTTTTCTTGTGTCTTTCCACCTACGGGTGAAGACTATGTAGTTCTCATGAGGGCAGCACTCTGCAGTGCCATTCTATTTTGTTGTTGCTGTTGTTATTTAGGAAAAAAAAAAATCCCAACAAACTAAAACCTATTCTGGCATTTTAGGAGAAGACGGCAGATGACAAGAGGTGATAGGAAGTCTGTGTCATTTCCAAAAATGGGAACTCCAGGGCACCCTCGGTCCTAGGCCCACACTCCCTACACACGCAGCTGGAGCCTCACGGACACCCCATATTGATCTACATATATCTCCTTGGGACCCTACTCAGTCTATAATCAACGAAATCAGATTCTGCCACATTGACTATTCTCTGCTTACTGAGGCCAGAAATAAAATGCCCACATTTAATACTGATTTTGGAAAATGAGAGTTGAAACCCAAAAGGGGTTTTGGTTACTGCTGAATTCGTCAGCCCCAGGCTGCGGCAGGCCACAAGCAGCAGACGGACGCTGGGTAGCCACTGGCCTCAGCTCCCGTCTCCAGGACATTATGGTCCCAGTGCTCACTCCCGGCAAACACAGAGGAGACGCATGCTCAGGGCTTCTGGTGTTACAGGGACTGCCAAGAGAAACTGGTTCCTCGCTTCTAGGAACTTTCCAGCAGAGTAGCTTCCAGTGGGGTCTCGTATCCAGGGTGGCTAAGAGAGGCTGAGGATTACAGGACTCCAGGGACAGCTTAGGAGAGAGAAAGCCCTACCACTTGGAGCCGAATATGTTTCCCTTCAAGAAACCTGACCCACAACTGAAATGTCCTGGCTATGAAAAGGAGGTGAGAATGTTGGGACGCCCACAGTTTCCTCTCCTTTTTCTCTTCTTCTGCCACCATCTGCAAACTGCCATTTAAGGAGCATATTCTCCAGGTTGGCTCTTTCATATACTCTGACCCATTTACTCTTCTCAACAACCCTCTGAATTATTGTCGTCACTTCATGGGTGAGGCAATGGGGCCGCAGAGAAGTACCTTGCCCAAACTCACAAAGCTATTCAGTTGTAGAGTGGAGACCTGAATCCAGTAGACCAGCCCTACTGCACGTATCACTCTGACAACTTTCAATTCCCAATTCTTTAGGTTATAGCATCAGTATAGATTTTTATGACTAATGCTGAAATATGCAAAGGTAAGGCCTATTTTCAAAAAGGACAAATTCCAGGCTCTAATTGTTATAGGGTTTCATATTCTATATACTCTTACAAAAATGACTAATTTCATGGATTTCCAGTGTTTCCAGTGAGCCAATAATGCAAATATATACTTGGTTATATTAATTATTAGTGAATGTAGGCAAAGGGTGCATGGACATTCATCGTTCTTTCAAGCTCTCTGCAGGTTTAGAAAATTGTCTCTTGCATATGCATGGTTAAATTTGGTCTATTTGTCACCTTATATGCATGGTATCTATTTGGCCTTAGGATCCAATGTGGGCTGGTGGGAAGGAGCAGACAGAAAAAACCAAGGGGCTAGAGTCCTTTAAGACGGCAGTCCCCAGGACTGATTTTGGGGACTAGGGACTGGTTTTGTGGAAGACAATTTTTCCACAGACCAAGGGGCTGGGGGAAGTGGGGTGGCGGGGGATGGTTTTGGGATGAAACTTTCCACCTCAGATCATTAGCCATTAGATTCTCATAAGGCATGCAGAGCCTAGATCCCTTGCACATGCCATTCACAATAGGGCTTGCACTCCTATGAGAATCTAATGCCCCGCTTCTGATCTGACAGGAGGCGCAGCTCAGGCGGTCATGCTTGCTCGCAGGCCACTCACCTCCTGCTGTGCAGCCTGGCTCCTAACAGACCATGGACTGCTGCTGGTCCACAACCCGGGGGCTGGGGACGTCTGCTTGAAGAAACACCTCAGAAACTATAAGTTATGGGAACAGCAGATGTACCCCTCTTCCCTGCCAGTCCCTCACCCTATTTTGAGGGCCTCCTCACCGGGGGCTAAAGACAGACACAGCTCTTACCCCCAGGGAGCTCACAGTTTGGAAGGGAGACAGAGAAAAGATGAACATAACACAATTTCACAAGCTTTATGGTAAGGTGCCTCCGGGGTCTAGGAATGTTGTGGGAGGAGGCAGATGGGGAAGGCTTCCTGGGACAAGCCCGCTTTCAGCTGAGTGTGTAGGACAGGGAGGGAGACAACGCCACCTGCAGTGTGTGGCTCAGCAGCGTGTGGCTGCCTGCGGAGTGTGAAGCAGGACGGTCGTTCCCGACCCTCAGAGGCCAGGACTGCTAAGATCAGTTCTGGGCAGGGTGATGGAGGGAGGAAGGCACAGCGCCCCGTACGGAGAAGCAAGTGGAAGGCGAAGTTTTTTCTACTTTTCGGAGGTTCGGCTGGGAAAAGGAGGAGAGAGATGACGAGTGGCCTCAGAGGGCGGGAAGGAGGAAGGGGGCTCACTGTGAGAATAAAGGACACCCACGCATGCTGAGGTGGCTTATACAGAGGAGTCAGAGATGAGCAAATGATTTCTTTGAAGCTGTGTGCTGACCACAGTCACACCAGGATCTGCTCCGTAGAACCCATTTCTCTCACAAAGACCAGAGGGAAGCCAGGCAGCTGCTCTCCTCCTTGCTGGGCCACCGGCACGGACCGGCTGACTCCCATATCCACGCCCCGCCAGTGACAGACTCCAACACTGGCTGCCCTGGGCTGGGGCCCCAGGCTCATCCCTGGTTCATGGCTTCTGTGAATACCCACTGTGCCCATCACACGGCATCTGTTTCTCCCTCTAAGCAATGGTACCCAAGACTTCTCGTGGGAACATGTTTTTCCTCCTGTCACGTGGGGCTGGACCCCGCAGTTCCAGGCACAGGCCCATCACCCAACCCCAAACAGGGGGACTTTCGTTCACCTTAGAAAAAGGCAGCTTTCTTCCCACAGGGTTTCCCAGAGACTGGACGTGAGCCTGGATCTACCAGCCCACAGGAAGATGTCCACAAAGAGGACAGGCAGGAGTGCCAGTGCGGAGAGAGACCATTTTTCCTGTGACATCATTTTAAGCCTCTGGATCCAGCAGTGCCTGAAGCTGGTACTCAGCAACTGAGAGCTGGGTTTGGCTTTCACACATGCTTTCTGGAGGTTGGGTTAAAAAATGCTAATCACGATGAGGGCAGAGCAGGTGAGGAAAGAAAATTACTATTATGGCTTCCTATAAATAGGCCCCAGATGTTTACCACCAAGCTGAGTATCCAGGGCCTCTGCCCATATCCCAGCACTAACATCTCTATCTTGGCCCTAACCCTCTTATCCCGGCTCTAACCCTCCTATCATGGCTCTAACCCTCCTATTCCGGATCTAACACCCCTATCCTGGCTCTAACCCTCTTATCCCAGCTCTAACCCTCTATCCTGGCTCTAACACCCCTATCCTGGCTCTAACACCCCTATCCCGGCTCTAACACCCCTATCCTGGCTCTAATACTCCTATCCCGGCTCTAACACCCCTACCCCAGCTCTAACACCCCTATCCCGGCTCTAACACCCCTATCCTGGCTCTAACACTCTTATCCTGGCTCTAACACTTTAGAGGTAACTCTTTCTCCACTGGCCTTGTTTATGTATTTCTTGGGCCCTTTTTAAAAGATGTTTTAAAGTGACTCTGAATTACAACCTGAAAACTACCCTACTTCCATGCCAAAAGTAAAACATCTGGGAGGTCAAGAGTGAAAAGGCCCAAAAAAGGGCAGGAGGGCACACCTGGAGACGGTTATAAGACCAGCCTCAGAAACGCTGCACAGAGGTGGAGGCTGGCCCAGGGAAGCCCTGCTTCTGCCATCGGAGGCCCGACAGTGGGTGGCCCAGCAGCAGCGACTACAGCATGAGGTGGAGGCAGAGCCAGTTGGGCCTTGGAGCCTGCCATCCTCTGATCACCGGAGTGGGGTCTTTCCTGTCTGTAGTGGAATGGGTGGGAGAGGTGTCAGGAAGAGGGCTACTCAGAGGAGTCACTGGGTGTGGTCAAGGAATTATGGGACACGAAAGTGAAAGAGGCTGCAGCTGACGGCCGAACCCCGGCAAGGTCAACTGCTCATGGGGAGGAACATATCGGACAACCGAGTGCTAGTGACAGCTGGCTCTCTGGGGAAAACAGCCTAGAGTTATGGTATATTTGCTACCCAAAGTGTAAATACCCTCACCATGACAGATTTTGTTATCCACCTGGCATCAGTGAACAAGGAGTGGGGAAGAGATGCCTATAACTGGCTCTCACAAGCCACACACAGCTGTGGGGGCACTCCAGTGAATTCTGAAGATGCTTGTCTTTGCTTTGGAGGTCCTGGTCTGCAGCTGATGAGTTGGAGAACTCCTGCACAATCACAACTTGGTTGAGGCCAGGCATGGGTTTGGGGTCAGCTCTCAGAGCCCCAGAAAGAATACGTATACTTTGCATGCCCACGCACTGCCTGTGGCCATCGCCACAGCGGCTGCAAGTTCTGGTGTACTGCAAATGCAGCTTTCCAGCTTACAGCCTGCACGCCTTTCCTCGGGACAGCGTGCTCGCAGCCACACATTTGTGTATCTCTCAGGGAGAGGAAAACACAGGCAGAGTTATTAGCAGGAGGTCAGCAGATCTAAGAGGCATGGGGGTTACTTCCAGCCTTTTCACTTTGGTGTCACTTAGCAAGATGCCAAATTTGCAGTTTGCTGTGGTCCATCTGAAAAATCATAACTTCCTGCAAAAATCAGAAGTTAGTGCTTGACATCCCTTCAAAAGAGATGTCAGCTCAGAGATTCTGTTGGGATGTCAAGATCATTTTTAACAGTGACTAAATAGGTTCATTGTGGAGTCCCATGAACAATGACTTCATGGGGCCACGTCAACTCCAGAGAGACAATGCAGGTCACCTCCTGCCCCCTTCTGTGGCAGCTTGGTTGTTCTCCTGCCTTGCGTTAGCTGCACAGAGTGGGGTCTGCAAAGGCCTCTGAGGCTGCAGCTCCAGGCAGGAGTCCTTTCCACAGCCCTATGCATAATGCATTCTTTTTTCCTGAAAGACAACCTTCCAAATTAAATGCATTTTTGGCTCTACAAGTTCCTGTCCCCTCAAACCTTGAGCATCAATGAGTATCTCCAAGCCCCCGTTGTCTCTAAGTATTTTGAGATTAATTAGTGTGCACTTGAAATCAGGATATGTTTGGACCCAGAAAAGACTCCATGGAGCAATTAAAATGATTACAAATGCTTTGATTTTATGGGCAATTAACAGAGCAAAGAACAGGGGATTCCCCCAGTGATTTCATTTTATCTGTGATGTCTGAAGTTCTGGTTTGCTGGGGAGGAGATTTTCCCTTGCTCATTTCGCCTGGGCCGGAGATTGGAAGTTTTAAACCACTATCCAAAACATAACCATGCTCACTTTTGTGGGTTTTGCTCAGAAGCTCTCAACAGTTAGACTTCTATGGGGCACCACATGGGTGGATACACTTTCCTTTGCCACCAGGGCAGAACAAAACCTTTGCAACGAGCTGGAGTGTGAGGTTACATGCAGAACGTCCATTTCTGTCTCCGGCTCTTCTTCCTCTCTGTGGACACTCACACACCATCCTGGTCTTCCAGGCACTGTGGGGAAGACCATGAGCCATTCCAAGGAGCGAGGTGGGGGCATTCCTGAGGGAAGGGCATGCTCCTTTTCAGAGCTGGCTGGAGGCAGATGCGAACTCTGACCCTGTCCCCATGCGCCTCTCTGGCACAGAGCTGAGCAGAAGCCCGAGTGGGGTTCTTTTAGTCTCTCTCCTTCCTAGCTTCACTGGAAGACCTGACCCACAGTCAACCTACTTCTAATCCTGGCAGCGAGTCAGCTCCTTTTATTTCCACTCGGAGTTCTGCCAGCTCTGTTCTTAGCTATGGATACAAACTGCCCAGGCATTTCCTGTTCCAGGTGGTTTTGAGCAGAAAGCCAGCCAGCGTGGGCTGAAGGTAGGTGGGGTGAAATTCTTCAGGAATTGCTCTCAGCAAATGTGAGAGCAATTCAAAGTTACACTGGGTTGACTTCCAAAGCACCCAGTGCTGAGTGGAAACAAGGCCTTTTTGAACTAACTTTAGAAACATAATGAGTGTGGACCACCTTCAGGCTTGCCCATGTCCATCAGCCAGGCCCTGGAGTCCTGGGATTATGCCTTCTGGATAAGATAAGGCAGGAAGCTGGCTCTAACCTCCCATGGAGGCCCAGTGCTTCTGGAGAGCTGAGCAGTCACCCCGAGACGTTAAACCAATCTCCGTGGCATGCAGGTTTGTTCTGAAGAGCACACAACGTAGTGGTAACAACAGGCAGGTTTAATGTGTATTCTCCCGTGAAAAATCTCCATCCGGCAGTCTCTGGCCATGATTGGACAGAGTAATTCTGAGAGGCTCCATGAATTGTAGTGAACTCAGAGGAGCTGGGGAACCTGGATGAGACACCAAGTCCCTTGGAGCTTCAGCTTGCCCCTCTGTGAAGGAAGCAGAGCAATACCTTGCAGCCCATTTAGGGGGATTAGGGATCAGGTCTCTAAGGCACAGGCGAGCTCAGTGATTGGGAGCCACTATCGCAGATGCTATTGTTCTTTTTTTGTATACATGATGCTCAGGCTTCAGGTGCTGAGGGACGATCACAAGAGCTCATTCTCCTGGGTGGCATCTGCTAGTTAGCACCTGCTGGCCCTAAAGTGAGTTTGAGTGAAAAGTCTGTTTGTACCATAGGAATCAGAAGTTGAGGAGCGATTCAAAGGATTCTAACATCCTCTGCCATTCTTAAATTGCCATGCAAAAGTGGAGATAAGGAAGACACTCCTATTGCCAGACACTTAGGGCTGAGCCAGGTGGAGAAGCCATGCTGAGAAATCTCAGAAGCCAGGGTCAGAAGCCAAGGGACTTACTCGCAGGGGCACCTTCTGGGGCTTGATGGAAGAACCATTAATTCGACCTCCAAGCTGAACTACCTCTTGGAATACCCGGACTGCGAATTTTGAATTAGGATGAAAGGTGACTTCAGCCTCCCACGGAGGGCCTCCAGTACACTCAAATGCATGGGTTGGGAAGGGGAAGGGTAACTTTTTGGCATGATACCAGGTGGTGGGGCTTCCAATGCAAATGCTGGTGAGGCTGACCTGATGTCCTTTGATGGGCAGAAGGAGAGGGAGTAGACTCTTTGTGAATTTAGTAAAAAGAGGCTGTCACTTTGAAGCTGCCAAAAGCAGCAAGAGGCCTTGTTTCAGAGTGCATTTTTAAGTGTTGTTCTATTTGCAGAGTGACAGCTGGGACAGCTGGGGAGGAGAGTGCCAGGCAAGGCAGGGACACACAGGGGAGGTGGGAAACCACAGGGCAGATGAAAATGCATATGGATGTCAACTCCAGGGATGGCAAGGTCTTACCCTGGCAGCAGAAGCACGAGCTGCCGTCACAGCCCCAAGGAGGCAGGGTGGATGGCAGGTGACCAAGCTGCGGAGGAGGTGGCAGGGCAGCTTGGGACATGGGGGGATCCACAGAGTGTGGTGCCAGTGATAACCCACGTGGGTGCTTGGAAACGGGCACTCCTGCCTTCCCCAAGGCAGGTGTGCCGGGGGCATGTTAGCATCAAAGCATTCCCTAACTCTTTAATTAACAGGATTGTGGTCTTCATTGTAAACTTGCCTATTAGATATTTGTTTTGTGTCTGTCTCATCAGACTTTGAGTTTCTCAAGCAGAGACCATTTCAAAGAAAGACTCGGACTTTTGCATAGTCTACAAAGGCAGGAATGTGGACAAAGATGTCATTTGAAAAAAATGAGTAATAAAAATGGAAATAAAAGGGTTCCATGGGTAACTTCAATGTAGCTAAAATCATTTCTTGAAACTCGACAAATCATGTCTTACTTTTTCTTTCTTCAGTCTCAATCAGCACTTTGCAACACAGGCTGAGAGGTGATGACATGAGGACAGCTCAGAAGAAGGGTACCTGAGGAAGATCAGCCACCTTGAGTTTAAGTTTAACCCAAGACAGGAACATGGGATTAAAGCTGGCAAAAGGACAGGGGCCACAACATGTTCCAAGCCAGGGAGGTAGGAGCAGAGGCAGCCTCTGGGCACCCTGCTGTCTCCACTTCTGTGTCCAACTCAGAACTCCAACCACCCTGGGGCTCAAGTCCTGGGCTAACCTTTGCTGGGGTTGATGGGGAGGCTGGGAATTGGGTCAAGGATACTCTCAGAAGGTCTTCTCTGGCTAGGAAGGGACTTATCAGAATGGCTTTGCTCATGTATAGTTAGGAAAATCAGTCCAGAATAGAACCCAAGTCTATGGAAAGATGCAGGTGTTTGTGCTTGAAGTCAATGCGCCGGCCACTAGGAATCTGGAATACACAGACCTTAGTGAAACTGGTGTCCTTCTGGGTTTCCATTAGACTTAGGACTGTTGTTCTTTTTCCAGCTAAGAAGTCGTCCCCAGAGCCACTGGCAGCCCAATGGTGCTTCCTGCAAGTTGGCCAATGGCCTGCACTGCCCAGACTCAATCTGCTTTCAGCTCTATGGGGTTACTTTGGGGAACTGGTAACCTGCCCAATTCCTCACAACTTCCTTCACTCTTCCATGATCTTCCTTCCTGTCCCAAGCTTGTCTTCCATCATTTTCCTTCCTGTTCCCGCCCCTAATCCACCCTGGGGATGGCTGCATGTTAGTCAAATATGACGGCGCTGTGTGGTCCCCTCTGGGTGTTCCTGTCATCACAATACAGGTGTGAAACCAGCCATAACCCGGGAGGAATGACACTGAACCGATTTACCAGACTGATCATCAAAATCGATTCTCAACACATAAATGGTGAGTCAAGTCATTTTTGTTTTACCCAGAAAGCTGTGGGCAGGTTTATCCTCCACCACACGGATCCTCCGAGCTCCAGCGGGAATGATGGCAGCTTCGATATAACCTGTAGCAACAAATGACATAGAGGTAAACCACACCTCCACCCTGCACCAGAGGCCACGCAGCTGCCCTGGCCAAAATCTAGCTACCGAGCCCCCGACAGTGGCTTCAGAAATGGAGGGCTGGTGCAGCTCTGAGAAATCGAGAGAGCGAAAGAAGGAGGCAGCTCTCCTAAGGCCAGAATCTCCCGGCGGCCTCATTTCCAGAGAGCAGGATTTGCATGTTTCAGGTTGAGTGGTGTCCCCCTCCTCCGCCCTCCCCACCCCCCGCCCCGGCAACCAGAACATCAGCATGTGACCACTGCAGACATATTAAGATGACGTCATCCACGAGTAGGTGGGCCTAATCCAATATTACTGATGTCCTTATAAAAAGGGGAAGTTTGGACACAGACATGCACACAAGAAGAATGTCACGAGAACACAAAGGCAGAGATGAAGTGATGCTTCTACAAAGCAGCCAAGGAACGCCAAAGACTGCCAGCAAACCACCGGAAGTTAGGCAAGAGGCATGAAACAGATCCTCCCTCATGACCTGCAGAAGGATCCAACCCTGCTGACACCCTGATCTCAGATTTCTCACCTCCAAAACCAAAAGACAGAAAGTTTCTGTTGCTTATGCCACCTAGTTTGTGGCACTTTGTTATGGAAACCATAGCAAATGAATACAGCCTGGTATTCTATGGGAATGGCACTTCCCTGGAGCATCAGTGAAAAGTGGCCCTGGTCTCATTCATCTGCTGGAGGGCCTTTTTCTCTTTGTTGTATTTTGAACTTCCCTGAATATCCATGGGATGACAGCAGAAACCAAGCAATTTGCCCTATGACAAAGCTACAATATTACCTTAAAACACGGTGCACTGTTTCTTGCTTCCACCGTCTTTGGCCATTTCTGCAGCTATCACACTTGTATAGTTTTGTCCATTTCCTTGCATATTTTTAAGAAGAGTAGGGGGCCAGAACAGCAGGTGGGCAGTGAAGACATGATTGAAGCTGCCAGGGCAGAAGCTGGCAACTGGCTGATGCCTGGTTAATGGGGTGACTGCCAATAAATGAGCCCTACATGATGGTGAGACTCTGAAATGTAGGCTGGTAATAATCTTGGTTTGATTTTTATTTGGGATTTAGACAAGAGTATTAGGCATTTGTTTCTGCAATTTAGATGAGGATCTCAACTTAGATTACAAAACCTAGCCGTGTTGTTCCCAATGTGATCACCAGAATCATGAGTGGAGCTGTAAAAAATTAGAAATTTCTAGGTTCAACTATGTGCAGATTATGGAAATACCTATTTTGAGGGGTTTATTTATTTATTCATTTTCTCACAATAAAATGGCTTTATTTTTATTATCAAAATAGTATACAAAAGTTCAAACAACAGACAGCAGAAACCCAGAATTGACCTATACCACATCACAATGAGAAAATTACCCCAAGAAAGTAATATTTTGACCAGCCTTTTCAACATCTCTTAATGCATATAAACATACACATATCATTTTATATGAACAGAATATTATACGTACTTTTAAAAGATCAGTATTATACAACTTCAAAATAATTAGTTTTGCTAGGTAATGTATGTCTAAGGTACAAAATTCAAAAATTATAAATGGATCAAGTAGAAAGTATATTGATCTATAGGCTATATGAGGCATTCTATAGCCAGCTACATTTTTAAAACTATTTATAGTAATTTGTATATTGTGGCTGAGTTTCTACATAGCTAACTTAACATCTGCTAATATGACAGTTCTGTTTCTTCTTTTCTAGTCTTTATGCCTTTAATTTCTTTTTTACTATTCTGGTTGTAACTTACAAAACCACATTGTAAGGAAAATGAGATTGTGACATCCTTGTGTAATTCATGATGTCACAGGAATGCTTCCAAAGTTTTCCCACCGAAAGAGATTGCTACTGTGAGAATAGGATAGGTATCATTAATCATTTATCAGGTTAGGGACATTCTCTTTTTTGTTTAAATTTTACTTTAAGTTCTGGGATACATGTGCTGAACGTGTAGGTTTGTTACATAGGTATACATGTGCCACGGTGGTTTGCTGCACCCATCAACCCATCATCTAGGTTTTAAGCCCTGCATGCATTAGGTATTTGTCCTAATGCTCTCCCTCCCCTTTTCCCCCATCCCCTGACAGGCCCCAGTATGTGATGTTCCCCTCCCTGTGTCCATGAATTCTCATTGTTCAACTCCCACTTATGAGTGAGAACATGTGGTGTTTGGTTTTCTGTTCCCGTGTTAGTTTGCTGAAAATGATGGTTTCCAGCTTCATCCATGTCCCTGCAAAGGACATGAACTCATTCTTTTTTATGGTTGCATAGTATTCCATGGTGTATATGTGTCAAATTTTCTTTATCCAGTCTATCACTGATGGGAATTTGGGTTGGTTCCAAGTCTTTGCTATTGTAAACAGTGCCGCAATAAACATATGTGGGGACATTCTCTTTTTGAATACTTAGTGTGCTAACAGTTTTTATCATGAAGAGGTATTAAAGTTAATAAAATGTTTTTGTACATCTACTGAAATCATCATACTGTTTTTCTCCCAAACCATACCAAGGCCTCAGAGTTGAACTGTGATCACACTTGTCATGGTTTAGATGATACATGGATCCATGTCTTAGCTTTTTCTTTTAAATTATTTCATACATGTGGCATTTGCTTAGTTTTACATAAACATTTATCATTTTTTTCCCTCACCATTTCTTCCCCATATCAGACCATGCTTCTGGTATCTTTTTTTCTTCCTTAAATCCATGTGAAGGTCCTTTAGTGTAGGTCTCTTGCTTGTTGTAAACTCTCTGGCTTTGTTTATCTATAAATGTCTTCATTGACATTCTCTTGGTTTTGAGAAATGGTGTTCTTGGGCATTTGATTCTAAATTGATTGTTATTTTCCTTCAACACTTGAAATATATTTTTCCACTGTCTTCTGGCTTCCCTTATGATATCAAGAAGGCAGTCATCATTCTGAGTGTCGTTCCTTTCTAAGTGGCCTGTCTCAGCGATACTCCTTGGTGTTCTGCAGTTTCACCAAGACATTTCTGAGCACGGATAATGGGGAAATACCGGTTGTCAAATTTCTCCAGTCACATTTTACCTTTAACGTCTAAGAACTATTAGACTACTTACAGTTTTGTATCAACGTTTCTTGGGACACAAAGCTATATTATTAGTACGTTAATTTTTTCTGATCTATTTGGTTTTCTTTTGAACATCAGAGTATATATGTTTATCTCTTTTGTCTTCTGCAGTGCTTATTTTATCTTTTATTTTTTATTTACCCTGCTTGGATTACTTTGTGCTTCCCAGGTTAGATCAGATCAATCCCTTGCATTGTTTCCTACCTTTTATCTTTTAACTGTTTATTAATTTGTACAAAAACAATGCAACTGGTTTCTATGTATTAATTTTGTACCCAACTTCCTGAATCCTCTTATAATTGTCATAGTTTCAAGGTTAATTGTCTTAGGTTTTCAAGATAAATAATAATATGACAATAATATCTACCACAGTAATAGTTTTAATAGTTTTACTCTTTTGAAATGTTTATGGTATAAATATATATATTTCTCTCCCATTCAAGTACTAACCAGACCTGACTTTAGCTTAGCTTCTGAGATCAGACACATTCAGGGTGGTGTGGCCATAGTTATTTTTCTTTTCTAAATGCATTGGTGAGCACCACCAGAAAAATGTTAAATATTCCTGGAGAGAATGTACACCCTTGTTTTGTTTTTGATTACAACAAGAATGCTTATAGTGTTTCGCTGTTGAATATAATGTGGGCTTACAGTTATATATAATATCTCATATATAACATACTTTATGCATAATATAATCATATTAAAGACATATACGTTATTCTCATATTAAGAGTTTTATCAGGAATAAAGGTTGAATTTTACTGCATGCCTTTTCAGCATCTAAGTGCATAGTTTCCTCTTGCTCTCACACCTTGTTCTATTAATAGTATAATTATATGAATATATTTACTAATATAAAACCAACTTCATATCTCAGAATAAACCTTATTTGGCCATAGCATATAATTTTAATATGCTGCTGAATTGTTTGCTAATATTTAGAACTTCTGCAACATTATTCCTAAGAATGCTCTGTAATTGTTATTATGCTTTCTTTGTTGGATTGGGTTTTGGTATCAATATTATTCTTGCTTTAATTAGGAGTATTTCTATGCTTCTATAACTTACCTGTGTTGATTTTATGTAGAGTCACAATTGGGAAATTATTTTTTCAATCATTCATTTCAAACAGGTTTTAAACTTATTTACAGAACCCAGCAATGTAATCTCTTATGATTTATTAATTTCCTTTATACTTTATTTCCCTATTCGCTATTATTTTACATATTTGTACTTTCCTACCCCCATTTGGCTCATTAAATGAGCAAACAGTGGAGCTGTATACTATTTAGTTGGATTTCTTCATCCTGTCCCTTACCAATAAATTCTAGTTGTTGTTTCTGTTTTATTGAATGTTTTTCCATAGGCCTGTATATTTATACTTCTACTGTGTAACTTATCAGATGTAATTTAGTCCCTGGATATTACAAAATAAGGAAATGAGAATAATTACAGTACATTCTACTTTCTCACATGCCATTTCAACTTTTATTGTATCATTTTGACATTGTGTTAGTTTGTAACATTTACTTTTTACTAAGGTAATTTCTATAGTTGTTTTAGTTTTAATCCTAAAAAGGAATTTAATGTTTGTTATGCATTCTTCTGTCAGTTTCTCTAATAAATTCTTGCTTGCCTCAAATTTGTTCCCTTTGAGATGGACTTATGGGAATTATATTTTCTGAAATATAATACTGTATAGCAAAAAATAATTGTTCATTGTCCTTATCCTTGAATGTCAGTTTGGCTGCTATAACATGTTGGGGTCATACTTACTTTCTCTGAGGCTGTTGTATGAGTGGCTCCATAAAATGTGACCATGGAGAAGTCTAAGGACTGCT